GTTTTCTAATTGACATTTTGATTGTTTTTATGAAAATATCAGCATAGTAATATTGCTGTTATTACAAGTGATTCATATAGGTTATGATATTAAATCAATATTTATTTGTGGATGCAATGAGGGGAGAGTAATGTCGTATTAGAAAGATGGCCCTTTGAAAACCTTAATGTTTCTCATTCACAAATATATTTTAATTTCAGACTGACAACCGAAGTAAACACAAACTACAGTTTTGAAAGCATTGTTTTTATTAATTAGGGTAAAAAAAAATAAAATAAAATTAATTGTCCCTCAAACTAATAACTGGTTGTATCACACTAGGGGGCAACTGTTTCCATTAAATTTTTGCAGCAACTTGTAATGAGTCTCTTATATTAATGTGGAAAAGTTTTGATCAACTCATTTTTGTTTTAATTTAGCCACGCTGTGCTTTCTTTTTTTTTTTAGGCATAAATATTGTAATTAATGTCATGTTATGAGATTGTTGATTTAGAATTTAAATAGCCTTCTGCTAAACCATTTATCTTTTATCACCCAGGTGTGCTTAAGTTTTAGTCCCAACCTGAATCCTTGGCATTCTCTTTTAGGATTTTCTCCAAGGCTTGTATTTCTTCTAGGTTCTTAATGAGCAAAGTAGGCCTGGATCACCACTAAACTGTTTGACTGCCAGTTTGAGGGTCTGTTTCTGAAATGCTGTCTTTTACATCATCATTGTGTTTTAAAACAGCTGAGGTATATATGTATATATAAAGCATTACATATTTGACATTACATTTTATATCAGCCTGCATCTGGTCAGAGTTGTTGCTTGAACTGTATCATTGATTTGCAATAACTACTAAAAAGTGATCAACGCATTTATTTCTAATATTGATTATAACCCAACCTCATATCTGTAGGACATAAAGAAACTGTTTTTACCCAAAATACTGTTTCTTAGAGTCTATCTGGCTAACAGAATAACAATGCACATGATGTATAAAGAATAAACCTAACAGTACAAAGAATTCATACTATGACTTTATAATCATAAGAAAACTAAGTCATCACATCCCATACATAGAAGATGTGGGAAGTGTTAATGATGTAATGACTTCAAATGGATCTCCACAAGCCAACAGATAGCATTTAACTTGTTGTATCTCCCCTTGCGCCTATGTCATCATCCATGAAAAAAATCTAGATTTGTGTATGTATACATATGTATGTTTGTATATGTATACAAAAAGGGTTTACACTCCATTAAATTAGGTTTACATAAAAGCCAGTCTAATGAGAATGCATATTTCTTGTTTGTTGGGAAAAGTACCTGTTAAAGTGCTCCATCTGATTATTGCTCCATCATTTCCCTTTAACAGTTTATGATTAATAATATTAATAATATTAATAAATTTAATTTATACTGCACTTTATATCTAAAACATCTCAAAGTGCTCAAAATCTACATTATCTTAAAATGTCAAAGCTTTCAGACAAAACAGGTAAAAGTTTGAGGTCAGAGACTTTGTGTGTGTTGAAATAAATAATAATAAACCGACTAACCGGCCGATGTTACGACTGTGGTTAGACCGACGATCTGCCTACAACTGTCTGCAGTGACACTGGACTCAGATTTAAAAGTTGGATCTTTCTTGATAAACAGACTAAACAGATAAAGTTCCAATGTTTCTCACTTAAAAACATATTAAAACTTATTTTGTGACAAACTAAATGTTCCATCACTGGTGGAAAAGAGCTCTGTAACTGTCCACGACCCCACCCCTTAACATGCTAGAAAGAACTGGGTCTTTAGTGGAACCAAAGCCCAAGGAAATCAAAAACGCCCAGCTAAATGTTTATGGAATTGCAACCCAAGCTTTCAAAAGCATCAGACTTTTGAGTGTCAATAGAAAAAGGAATTATCTTTTAAAGTAGGGGCACTTTAACAGTAATGGTCCAGTCCAGGGATTGTGTCAGACAACATCATGCAGTTAACCTATTTTGCTGCAAAACTGCTCAAATATTGTGCTGATTAAGAAATAAAAACATGGAGAAGTAAGTATGTCTCATAGGATTACTTTTCATACTTTGACATCCAATTTTAGGTGCGCGATGCTTCTCTTAATTTCTCCACATAGCCCCATGGGACATTTTCAAACTGATTTGGATTAGAACTTTTAATTTCTTTTCATTTTTTTGCTGCTTAAATGTGCTGCTCTTAATGTTCTTCATGCTTTAGGTGTACTGGGACAGACGAGAAAACAAACCACTCTGGGGTCTGGATAAATCCTTCTCAGACCAGCAGTTTAAACAATACCAGGGTTGTTTCATTGTCCTTGATTGAGGACACTCCAGCGTGACCTAAAACAATGTTAAGATGTTCTCATGCAGATGCATTCAGATAAAAAAAAGTTTAATGCATTTCTGCTTTTCAGTCACATAACTTCACTCAAGTTTTGAAGTTCCATAATGTTTACCTTTACTGTCTGAATCTTTCTGTATCAAATTCAGCTGTGCTTCTGTTGAGCATATTAACACCTACCTGTACTAAAGAGGTTGTTTCCCTTGCAGGAGAAGATGATCGTCTGGCTCTGAAAGGCAAAGTTACGGTTGGAGATCTCTTCAGAAAAGAATTCAAGGTTCATGATCCAAACGCTAAATGGATAAGCGGTAAGTTTCCTTTATTTGATTTTTTTTTATTATTTATTATTATGTATTTTATTATCATTATTATTTAGATGATGAATATTTATAATATGTTCTTTTTTATACATGGACCATGTAAGAAAGATAATTTCCTCCTGGGATCATTAAAGTATTTCTGATTCTGATATTAGTCTGAAGATAGAAGGAAAGGTTGAAAAGGCCTTACTCTCTGTCCAAAATAATGATACTAACTTTCATTGTGATGCTCAACATTTAAGATTAATGAGATGTTATAAAACACCACAAAACATTTGAATGAACATAAGCAAGAAAGTAACCTAATACTTGATCATGTTTAGGGTTATTTTAGATATTTTTCCATGTCAGTGAAATGTCTACCTAATTATGTAGCTGAAGGAAGATATAAATTGGTAGGGAGGGTTATTTTAATGATTAAATACACAACTAATTTTGTAGGAAATTTGTTAGGAAATTATTAAGGTGAATGGATTCAATAAGGGATTTGTAGACCTCGCATTTGCGAACGTAAAATGTCAGGAGCAGGGATCTACAGCATGCCGCGTGAAGGCTCTTTGGATCCTCTACAATGGATGTTAATATTGGCTAACAATGATAAAAAAAAAAACACATAATAATAGCTATAATAACAAATAATAAAGTATATTTGAATTGAAATGTCACAACAGAATGCCATTAAAAGAACAGGAAATCTGTTTTTAGAGACATTTTTCTTTTATTTAACTTGTAAAATATGTTTTACTACATTTTTTAAAGGTAAACATTAGGGCTCTCAGGTATCATGTTAATTAGATTCATTAATTACACCCCAAATTAATACGTTATAAAAATAATCATGATTAATTCAGAGTGGTAATTCATTGAATGAGCCTTTTAAATTTGGAGCACTGAATGACCGGGGGATGGGTGGCGGTAATGCACATATAGCTGTGTGCCAACCGCCAAAACCAGAAGAATAAGAGATCTATATCAAATTTGACTTCAAAGAGAATGAAGATGGGACTGCCAACCACACCAAGGTGGTTCATAATTATTGTAAAAACAAATTCTTTTATCAGCAAATCTTCAGCTTGATCATTTAAGCACTCGACATGTCGGGAAAGTTATGTAGCTATGAGCAAAGTCACCAACAGGAAGATGGATTAACCATTCACTACAATATTGTACTGTCCTAGAATAAAAACCCTTTATATCTGGAACCTTTAACACAGTGATGTGGAACGTTGACCCTCATTCTGCAAGATTACCTAATTTCTCTCCTCCAACTCACCTGATTCCAATCAATAACTTACCATAAAGAACTTCATAGGCTCTGTGGGAGCAGGGTTGCATGGAAAACCTAAAGGACTAGAGCCCTTGAGGATAATTGTTCCCAGTGACTTCTTTAGCAGATTAAAATGCAATTAATTAGATTAATTAATGACACATTCTGTAATTAATTAGATGCATTTTTTAATCACCTGCAAAAAAAAGTTGGGTTGTGAAAGATTGCAAGAGATTTCTAATGAAAGATGATTAACAAAAATTATAGGTTGTGTTTTATTAAAAAGACCTGTAATATTTTGTGGCTTGAAACAACTCAGGGTAAAATGGCTCCTTGGATATGAGAGGCCGCAGACCTTGGTCTATCGTTTCCTGACCCGGTGGGGGCTCTACTGGGCCTTTTTTTCATAGAATGTATCCACACCTCTGGAGGATAGGCAGGTGCTACTTTGTGCTGCAGCTGTTAGTACTTTCCCCCGTGGTCTTTCTAAAGCTTACATGTCCTTCCAGTAAATGCTCTCAGGACTCTTTGACTTGCCCCTTAAGTCCAAACATTGGTTAATGAAAGATTCTTGCCTTTCAGTGTTAGTGTGTGCTTGCATGTTTCTGGATTAAATGTCACGTGTTGGACTTATGATTGGACTGGTGTGCAGCCCTATCTGGGGTGGAATACTCCTGCCACTCATTGACCGCTATAAATGCACACCAGCAACTGATGGACGTAAGGGGATGAAATTTGTATTGATGAAGTTCTAAAAAAGTAAAATGTCGAACATATTAGTTTCTTCTTCTTTAGAAAAAGGAAATATAATCAGACTTGTATCAAAACAGAAAGGCAGTCCTAATATGACAGTCAGCAGATCTCTCATTAGTTTGTTTTATTTTCAGTTGTCGGCTGCTGTGAATCTCCTAATCCCCAAAACAGAATAACCACGGCCATCCTCATCGATAGTGATCACAGCACATTATCTGCATGGAACCAGCCCTGCTCCCTTCTCTGAATGTCTGTCTGTGGCATCTTGTGTCACAGCTGTATCCTCATTAGGAAACATCAAGGAAATAAACACAGGATGAGTCTGTTTACATCCATGCGTGATGTAAACAGAGTCACAGCAGGACAGTCATTTCATACAGTAAGAAACCAGAAGCATTAGTTGCTAAATGTTTATTTTCACTTAAACAAAAGTTAGAGAAAAACAGCAGATATTAATCATCAATGTAAGTTTTAACTATAGAAAACTTGCAAAATAATAAAAAAAATGTCCAAAAGGAAAGCAGTTGCCGAAGTGCTATCAGCTATGTCTAATGAGTTGTCTCTGCATATATTATTGCAACAAAGAAAAACAAATAAGTATTCTGTTTCAATTGTGGTCAGTAATGAAGTCCAGGAAAATGTTGACTCATCGTAAAAGAACCGGAGTAGTAACGTAGCGTAATTAATGCATTATGCATTTCCACCCAAAAAACTCTGACAAAGATAAACTTCAATGTCATTTATAGTGCAAAATATATTACACCAAAGAACAAATAGTCAGGAGAAATGTTGCTGTAGTGCAGCAGTTTGGACACCTAGCAAACCAGGACGTTTTATGCAAAGCACTCTGTGGTGCATCCACTCCGCCTGTCACTAGAAAACTCTGACCCTGTTTAACGATGTTGATAAAAACATGAGCATTTTGTTGGATTTCTATTTTCCTGTGTACTCCACAATGTCAGGCATGCAAACAAAATTGTAATATTTTAGAAACATTCATCTTCAATCCTTAAAGGTTCTGTTTGCAGAAGCCCCAGAACATGTATGGTGTGACCTTTTGTTGATGTGCGTTCTCATGTTGTTGAGTTTGAAGGAACACATCTCCTACTGTTCATAACGAGTCTGCATTATTTCATGTACCAAAGTGTGGATTAAAAGAATGTAAGAAATGTTGCTTAATCACTGAATATCTTTAATCTGTTGTGGTTCACTAAGCGACCTCTCAGACATTTCCATCTTTGTTTGCCTGCTGAGCAATGGTATCTGATGAGTTATTAGGTTGAAACCACAATGGATGGAATGGACAAAGAGTAAAGAAAGTTTGAGAAATTACACTTCTATATTTCTGCAGCATGTTAGTGCTGCAGAAACCTGACCAAGTAAGTATAAGGCCACAAATAAGGCTATATAGAGAAATACAGTTGCTTCTGCAAAACCTGACCTTAGGGGCATATCATTTTTAAACACCAACTGGCTTTTGTCACTTATTAGAAGTTAAGCACAGATATATTTTAAGTTTAATATTCGACTTATTTTAGTGTATCATTCGTTACTGACCTTGGTTGGGATTAATGTAAATCTGCATTACGGGATACTTTTATTTAACGCTAATGTCTAACTGGAGAGCTGGGAAATATATCTGGAAGGAAATCATTTGCTTATATTTTTCCCTCGTGTTGAAGCTGCCTGACTGCAGAGCATGTTGAAATCCTCACCTTTCTGGATTAGGGAATAAAATCCTTGTAAACATTAAGAATTGTTAAAAACTTGAAGGTTGAACTTTTTAGAAACTAGAAAAGAAATATTTGTAAATAATTATTTTGTGAAACTAAATAACCTTAGGTCAAATTCCTATTTTTTTTTTATTTGGATAGGTGGTCGATAAAGGAGTGTTAACAAAGGGAGATTCAAAGTTGTGCATACTAGAAAGATTAAAGTGAAATACTTGTACAGAAAACTAACATGGAATTTTAATATTAATGTAATATATATATATATATATATTTATTTATTTTATCTTTAGCTGGATGCAAAAAGAATTTACATTAGTTTTTGTAAATGTGTAAATATTGTACATTGTTTCTTTGTTCTATTTGGCAATGTTGCACTAAAATGTATCTCTCCCTGTAATGGATTCATACAAAGCTTCATCCTTTATCTTTTGGTTAAATTTGATTATATGATACAATTATTTATACATATTGTTTGGGTTCAGGAAGAGTATTTATTTAAGTAATACTTAATGTAATTTTAGCAAATAAATTTTTAGTCTTAAACATATTCAAAGTGTTTTTTAAATCACATTCTATCTTGCCAGTGTTAATATGCCTCTTTCTTTTGGGCTCAATCAAAGCCTGATCAAATATTAACGTTGGTGATAACGTCATCTAGAGATGTCAAGCGACTTTTAGGATAACAGTTTGGGAATTTCCCGATGAAGAGTTTGTCAACAGTGTCTCAACAGTTCCAGTTTATCGGATCTATAAAGGAACTAAGAGCTTACTTCCTCCTTTCCCTATTTTTCCACACATCCATGTGCCATGAAAACTGTTTTAGTCAAGAAACCCTCATGTTTGCTGTTTAAACAATTAGCAGTAGTGATCATCTGTTTCACATGTTATGTTTTTGATGTTATCATGCCGCTGAATGTTAGAATTGTGCCTCCAAAGAATCTTTCTGTGCTAAAGAATTGTTTTAAACTGCTGATCTGCTTGATAAAAACAAACTGATAGGCTATGTGTTTTTGTCATATGTTTGAGATGTTTGTATAATCCAAAATATTAGATTTGCCTTTTATTTTAGTGATTGGTGACTCTACATGTGCATTCTGACTGATTTCTCTATTATTCCAAAACAGATGTATCCTACATACCTCAGTAGCTGCTTGATTACCTGTAACTACGGCATATTTTTCCTTTATTTCCCAATGTCACTGCTGTTAGAATTCATCAAAGGCTTTTATTTTATT